CTGGCGCCCCTGGCCCCCCCTGGCCTCCCCTGGGCCCCCCCTTACCCCCCTCTCATCCCCTGGCTCCCCTCCTCGCGGCAGGGTCGACCGCGGCGGTGACTTCTTTGATGATGTCACCGAAACCCGGAACCAGAAGAGAGTTGATCCGCTCTCTGGCATAGGATCCTCGGAGTTCGGACGTCTTCTTCACGCCCATGTCCGCTCCATATTCGACCGAAGCCAAACACAGATCCTCCTCGTCCGTCTCCCAGCGCAGAGACTCCAGCAAGCGAGCCTTCGCCTGTGCCCGGCTCTGGTTGCTCTCCAGAAGCGACGATCTCTTCATGGATGCCATGCCGGTTTCGCTTTCCTCACCCGTTGCTGATGTACCGAAGAAGCTTCGCGATGTCTGGTGACCTCCTTGGACGTTCTCCGTCACGAAGTGCGTGTTGTCGCCAAACCTCTTCGACAGGCGAAGTGTCCGGCTGAAGAGGAGCACGCCGTTCGACTTGATCACAGACCGCAAGACGCTCAGGTCTAACCCACCCGGCTGGTGCCGGGGCCAGCAGACTTGGGTATCGACTTCCGCTAACGGTCCCGGCAGCAAGGTAAATTCGATGCCACCCACCATGGAGGCCACGGGCTGCATGTTCAACGCGAAAGTCACCGTCAGGCATTTCTCAATTGAAGTGTCCACCGAATAGAAGGAATACCCCTGCCACTTGTCCCAATGGTCCTTCATCCACGTGTTGCCACAAGGCACTGCCCAAGGCTCGAGCTTTACGAAGTCGTCCTTGGTCTCCGCCTGCCAATCCGCCTGTGTCGCCTGGTTGTTGCTGCCGGTCTTGCTTCTGGGCGCGAAAGCCAGACAAGATCCGGTGCTGGTCTCCCTGCCGTTGAACCTTGGATGCTGAGCTGGGAGCTTAGGACGCTTAGGACTTTAGGACTCAAAACATCGATTCTCCAAAGCAGACACCTGATAACTTAACTCCTGCCTGTGCGACGTTGACGGCAAATACGACAGGCACCGCTTGAAGCATCCACATCATGAGACTAGAAGCCCTCTCCACAAAAGCGCTGCACCACCGAGATGTGGTGATGAAATTCAGCAACAAAGTTGAAGTTTCAAGATGCAGCTAGCACGAATGGAAATTCCCGATCCATTGGTAGAGACCAGGAGCTGGGTGACCAGCGCATGGGTCTCAGGGCCATAGTCGTCAAAGCTCCACTTGACTGCAGCTGGAGGCTTGGGCTTCTCCTCCAAGTTCGCCATCTCCTGCAGCAGCTCGGCGTGTTTGCCTGGCATCTTCTGCGAGTGCTTCTTGATGACGAGGTTGGCGCTTCTGTGATGCACCATGGCCTGCGCACCGGCAGCGAGGAACTCCGTGGTGACCGCAGTCTGCAGCAGCGACTCCCCGCCCTTCATCGCTTGAGCCACCAACTTGGAGGCGAGCTTGGCGAAGGACTCGATGAACTCCTTGAAAATGTCCCCCAGTTGAGTCAAGTAGCTCAGGGGGGCAACGTTTGAGACGATCTTGAAGCCGAGACACCTCACCAGGTCACTGTGTGCGCCGGTGCAATTCATGAGGCTATCCCCAAGAGTCCTAATAAGCCTTATCGGGTGAGGCATGAGCGCCATGATGTCACCCCTGACAATCGTCTTCAACTCTTCCGGCAAGAGCTTTACGATGTTGTTGAAAAGATCCTTGAGAGGACCCGGCAAAGGGATAGCCTTTTCCCCGAATTCAAATTCGAAGAGATTTATCCCCTGCCCGGCCACCGTAAGGTGGCATTTCAGCCTGCCGAAGTTGATTTTCAGCCCTTCCTCATCGAAAGACGTGATGCTGGGAAAACTGGTGCCGCCGCAGTCGGCTCTCAAGCCCCCGAGACCCCCGCCACCGCCGATGATGGGGAGTGCGAGCTCAAGGGTGTCGACCGTGCTGCTCGCGTCCTCCAACCTGCCTCGGTGTCTGTGATGCAACATTCCGTTCTGGCGCTGTCTGCCGTGCTTGAGCATCACTCGCTTCAAGACGTCGGTTGCCTCCTTCAACCGTGTTTGGGCATCTTTGTGCTCCGTTTCGACGAAAGCTCCGGCGCCTCCAGCACCCTTCTCCAGGGACTGGATCCTCTCTTCTTGCGACAGGATCTTCTTCGTCTGCTCCTCCAGCTTGGCCTGCTGCATCTCGGCAAGAGCCTCGAGCTGTGCGACTTTGATCAGAAGGAACTCCAAGTTTCTTGCCAATTCTCCGGCGCCTTGGGCGCCTTGGGCGCCTTGCGCGGAGGCAGGGTTTTCAATGCTGCGGATCTCCTGCACTTCTTCATGCAGCCTCTCGGCGACAGCATCCTCCGGGGCCGCCGGGGACTCAAAAAGTTTGAAGGACCAGGAGGTCCAACAGAAGGCCCACGCCAATACAAGGCGAATGAACCCGAGCTTCGTTGTCGCCGACATGGCGAACGGGCGGCTCTAGAGCTTCGAGCTAAGAACCGTTTCAACTCATCTCGAGTTTTGAAAAATGGCCTTCAGGGCGCGGCAAGCGCGCCTCTCTAGGATCATCTTCTCTCCAGCTTAGGGCTTAAGGCTTAAGGACTTGGGAGGTTGAGAATCGGACACACTGAGGTCATGGCAGGTACACGGCGTGCTCGTGCCGGTTTTCGAAGGTGGCACTGACGTTGTTTTGGGGCACGGCGTCTCCTTCCGTTGCCACCGAGGACTCACCTCGCGAGATAGACCACTTTTTTGCAATTTGCAATTGGGTATGTCGCGCGGTCGGGCGGGTGGGTGGAAAGGCCAAGACTTCTGCCTCGCCATGCATTGAAGAGACCCAACTGCCCCCAAGCGTATATCTTCGTCTGTCGGAGTGCGCCTCGGCCCGGCGAAGCGGCGCAGCGACCCCCCTGCGACCCCCCCCGGCCCCGACGCTTCTGCCCCTCATTTAGCTGTGACCGGGCCAAAGCAGACGACGCGAGGCTACAACTGAGTGTGCCTGTGAGCTCTGCTCGCCGAGTGAAGACATCATCCCAGGATCCTCCAGAATAACAAAACACCGCTCAATGAGATCGAGCTGCCACCGTACTCATCATCATAGTCTGCGTCTGGCAAAGCGACTTGAACATCCCGTGGCTTGTTCCAGACCCAGTGATTGGCAGACCATTTCATGCCCTCTTGCCTCGGCGATAGGTGGGGGACTCTGGGCCCTGGCTAAACCCACCCGGTATGAGGCTTCGGCTGTAGGTCCAGCGCCCATCCAGCAGCGAGGGAGGCTGCCAGTTCCTAGCAGCTCCAGAAGGGCTTTTTGGGGTTTAGGGCTTTTTGGGCTTTTAAGGATTTTAGGGTTCTTTGGGTGTAGGGTTTAGGGTTTTGGGTTTAGACGAATTCCCGCGCGTGTAGTCGCAACTACCTCAGCGGGATCTCGATAGGGCTGAGAGCAAGCAGCATCCTTCATCAAGGCTTTCCCATGGCAAGCCGATGCTTCTCTGATCGGTTTCGGAGCTATCCGGAAACTACCCTCTGCAACACCGTAGGATCCATAATTGGAAACCCAGTTCTTTACTGTAGATACACAGTGCAATGTTCACTGATGGCCAGCCCCGCTTCATGTCATGAAATATGGCTTCAGTGCTGCTTGATATATCTGCATAATGGTAATCCAAGTGAGGCCTTTCTCGACCAGAGAACTGGAAGGCTCTTGACTTCAGGCCGGAGCGAGCCCCGAGTAAAGGTGATTGAAGAATCTGTTAGACAAGATTTGAGCTTCGGTCGAGGAGTTGGCTCAGCGCGGGAGCCCGGCTTTAGGACTTCAGGGCTTGCTGAGTGAGGACGAAATTTGGCGCGGCGCCTCTTTGAGGGTTCTGTGATGAAACCTGAATTTCAGACTTTACCTGGGGCCTGGGCCTTGCACTCCACGAAACCCTCGCACTGCACTCTGGAGGATCTCAAGGCTTCTCGTGGGGCTGCCCTGCTACAACGCACTCGTCCCTATCACTTGCACGTCTTCACTTCCGCCTTACGGCGAACCTTTTCTTTCGCCCTGGGGCACGGCAAGCTCGGTTCAAGATCCATCTCAGATGGAAGGGAGGGGATCCTGTCACACCCCAAAGCTTGCATCAACCATGTACTCCAGTAAGAGCCGTGTCGAGCCCTTGAAGCTCGCAATCAAGGAACCTTATCAAGAACTCCCTTCCAAAGCTCCAGGATCGGTTGACGGGGCAGATGGAGATGAAAGGAGAATTGCGGAAGGTGGGGCTTCGCCCACTTGGCGTCGCGGGATCTCCTCACTGCCCTCGCCGGCAAAAGAGGTAAGGAGATGGCATCGGTAGCACATGAGTACTGCCACCATGGAAAAATAGAATGCACAGGCATGTGCGCAAAAATGGCCCTGGTCGAGTGGAGGAACACCCCCTTGGTAAACCTCCAGAATCGCAGGCCCGATGGCCCGTCTCTGATAGGACAGGCCAGAGGGATCAAAAACAAGCTTGCGGCCATCCGCTGCAGAAAATGTTCAACGCTGCTGCTGTCTTTTGAAGCTGCCGGGCATGGGCATGGTGAGGGCTCCTCCTAAACCCTAAACCTTCGTTCTCTGCCAGTTCGGATGACCATCTTAGAAGCACGTCTCTCCAGACACAGGCAAGCCTTTGGAGAGCACCAGCGCTGCACAGACACACGCTGGCCCTCTCGAAAGGTGGGAAAATTGCCTGTGGAGAGGTGGATCATGTGGGTCTCACATGGAGAGGCTGCCCCGGGGCCGCTAGCACAGCGGCCAGTTTCAAATAAAGTTTGGGGCCGCAGAAACTTCAAGTCTGCTGTTTTTGGTAGCGGCCGCTGCTGCTTTCAAATGGGGATGAGCTGTACAATGCAGTTACACAGTTGGGGGGGTGCCGTCTCAGTGTTGGACAGACCTCCAGCTGTCAGTTCAAAGGAAAGAAGAAAGTAGTCAAGGCCGCGCAGAACGACAAGATCAGTAACGATCACGGTGGGCCTCTGTTCATTCGGTATCGATGATCTTTTTCTTGAAGTTGAAAAGCCTGGATTTTGCTGGCTTCACCTGTCAGGCTTTGCTAAGCACTCGTGGCAACGGAATCAGATCAAAAAAGCCTGGACCTTGCACGCGCAGCTTAGAATCCACATCCTAAAGTTCTTTTTTCTTCAGGATTTTGCATTTTGGCAGGGTGCCGGCCTGGATTTGCTGCAAGGCTCGCACCTCCAGGGAGGAAAAAATGAGATGCGATAGTTCCCAGCTATCGGGCATCAGTTCATAAGAGGCTCGTTTCAGTCGTCCCCGATGCCCGCGGTGAGGCGTCTCATGACTCCCAGCCTGATGCCCCAGAAACTGCCCCCCTAAACCTTTAAACCCTATGCTCTAAACCGTGCCTCTGGCAGCTGGCTCGGGGCAGCGGCACCCGAGGCTCCTTCGCTAACAACAGGTTCGGCTTCATGCCAAGTTCTTCTGGGCATGGCTCCCATCGGCTCGTCTTTCCGGTGTCGCAGGCGTTACCTTCAATGTGCTTCCTGTGTTTTCAGGCACACACCTGACTATCCACTCTGACAACAAGACAGGAGTCAGCTAGATGAAAGGTATCTGACGGAGTCTTTGCTTCAGAATGCTTTCACCCTCAGAGCTCAGCTGAGAAGCCAGTGATATCTTTCGTGCGAAAATGGCTTCGCCTGACCTGCAACAACTAGTGTTAGCCAACCCACCTGGTGCAGGTAGAGGGCTCTTTGAGTCAGGTGGAGCGGCCTGCCCGTAACTTGTAGAAGCTCCAGTTTTTCGGTGTCTTAGGGTTCAGGGTGCTTGGCTTCTTGCGACAGCTGATACATGGGAGTCTCCAAAAACAGGGGATCCTAATTTAGTACCTTAAATAGTAGGATCCTTATTACAAGGACCCCAAAACAAAGTACCCCTAA